GAGAAACAGAGACAGAGATAGAGATAAAAAAAAGGAGTGACAAATTATATACTATGTATGGGAACATGTAACAAAAGAATTTGTGAACTGATCAGGTACTATATAATCATGATTTCCAAAACAACACAATTTTCTGTGGTACTAGAAGTGTGTGGTGGTGCACACCTGTAATCCCAGCCCTCCTGAGGCTGGAAGATCTCAGTGAGTCCAAGACCAGCCTAAAACAACAACAACAACAACAACAACAACAACAACAACAACAAAATGGTTATAGGATCTCATAATTAAAAATGTAACTGGGCATTATGGCCCACGCCTCTAATTCCAGGACTTGGGAGGCTGAGACAAGAGGATCACTGGGAGTTCAAGGCCAGCCAGGACTGCACAGTGAGAACCTGTCTCAAAAAACAAAACAACATCAAAACACTAAAAATGTAAAAGTTACACCTAAAAACATACTTTTTGTGTCTTTAAAATGCACATGCTGCATTTATAAGTAATAATTAAAGATACTTTAAAAACAGTAGACAAATATTAAGATGAATACTCAGGTCTTTTTTAATTTTTAAGTACTCATGGTCAAAAGCTGGCTAGCATTTTTCTACAAGCAATCACTCAAGGAAATCTGGCTTTACTGGGTCAGTAATTCTATACTTCAGCTAATTATTATTATTATTTCATTTCTATTTTTCACAAAGCAGTATCATTAATTATAGAAAATTAATAAATTGCTAAGAAATGTAAAAGGAAAGAAACATCATCAACATTTTTTCTCTGAAAGTATTTTAGTGCTGACCATCTATTCTTAGTCTAAGTACATATGCATTATTTTACATGTATGTAGATATGTATAGATATATACAGACATAACTTTTCAAAATTAGTACTATAATGGTAGATTTATAATCTTTTTTCAAGTTATGATATATCATGAATATATTATTTTTAATGGAATTTAAATTGCCTGAACACAATGAATTTGCATATAAATTATATACTCTAATTTAGCTATCTCATATAGTTGAATATTACTTTGAAAATAACTATTTATTCAAATAATACCTATGAACCTCTGAATAGCTTCTTAGCCTTATGATTTTAAAGGGATTCAAAAGGATACTTTTAAAAAGTGGAATTGTGAGAAAATTGTGCAAAACTGAAGTATTTCATGTGTACTATAAAGTTGCTGTTCAGAAAAATAGTACAAATGTATGTGCCCATAAGTAGTTTAGCAGAGTCTGCTGACATTCATCAGCACTACTTAGCAGCACAAAGTTTTGGTTAATTTAATTCTTAACCTGTAGGCAAACTGGTGAAAACCCTCTGGCAACTTACACAGCACTGTGGTCTCAATACTAGAAATCACAATAGATTGACTCAGAATAGTACCTTCGGACCAGCCATGGAGGGCTTTCGAGGCTAAGCACAGGACCTGCAGGTCAGTGGTTCTCCCAGGGAGCATCTTAGAAACCTGGGCAGATGTTTGCAGTGTCATTGTGTTTGCAAAGGCTACTGACACTCAGTTGGTGGGGACCAGAGAAGCCAATGCTCTGTATGTGTAGTTTATTACTGAGCCAGGAGAATTAGCCCATGGCCTGTCCAACACTCAAACAGTCTATGGGAAATGTACAAGGGGAAAACCTTGATTATAATCATTCAAGCCCAAAACTTCACTCTGTTTTACATGAAATGCCAAATACCATGTGTCTACTCCAATAAAGAAAATTTTCTACTAACACACCGAGCAAGGAAAAACAGTTTCTTTGGAACTCTATCAAGAATTATGTACCACTTTTCAAAATCATTACACCATTCTTATTTGCACCACCAACACGATGCATTTACACGAGTCTGTATTTGTATGTCTTAGATTCATTGTGTCACTAATAGTATGTGCAAGGATCTTATCATTTCTGCATGACTTCTAATACTGGCATGGCCAATCACTGATACAGTGAAACATTTTAGTAAAAACTAAATTTTTTTTTCCTACTACATATAAGGTATTATTTGGCTTTACAAAATTATATGCATAGGAAGGACATATTTTCTATTGGTTTCATTTCAGAAGAGTAAAAGGAACATTGCAAGGATTTATCACAAATAGTGGTCACTGGATCACACAGATTGAAAACTGCTGCTGCAAAGAGTGGGAAGCAATTTGGAGCCTTTCAGAAGGACAGCAAAGATAATGCAGAGCCAGAGGTGGAGACGTGCAGGAGTAAAGAACGTAAAATGGAAAAGGGAGGGCAGGAGGCAAAGAGACCTGAAAAGAGACAAAGACAGCCCAGGCAGCGATATAATGAAGACCCAGGATGCCAAAATGCCGAAAGAATCACAGAGAAGGGAATTTATGGAGGACATTCTAAAAAGTCACTGGGACTCAGTGATTAAATATTGTGTCGCAGAGTAACTGTCACAGTAGTATCAGACTGCAGAGTGGCTGTGTTCTTAAAAACAGTGACACACACACACACACACACACACACACACACTGTCACTCCAATTTTTTACCAAATAATCCCTTTTCCCTTCTGCTGCCAAAGGGAAGACTTATCTTACCCCTGATTCTGAAATCTGACAGCCCAACCTGACACTAGTCTGAATCAGAGGGCCAAGTCTTACTGTTTATTTGTTGTGATTTTCCGTGCAAGATAAATCCCAAAATAAATTTCAAATGTGCGTTAAGTACACTCCAGGTTATAAATCACATACTTGTATCCTTGTATTCTCATGCTACAGTAAGCACAAAAACACATAAATTAAACATTCATATATATGTATATGCCTTGCTTCCCCTTTACCAAATTCATGCACACATAGACAGACAGACAGACAGACACACACACACACACACACACACACACACACACACACAATGAAAATATAGTAAAGTAAAATAAAATAAAATAAAATGAAATAAAAGGAAAGGAAACTAAGCAGTGAAGGACCAGAAATGATTTTCATGAAACATACATTTATACTTATCAGAAGCAGTCATAACAATTACAATTGTGTGATATTAGACCAGCTCTAAGAGGCACAAAAGTATTTCTGAAGTGAAAGGGTGGACAGTAATCATAGCCAGCAGAGAGAATAAATGTGGGCAGATGTTGAAGATAAAAGATGATGCCCCAATCATTGTCCAATTTCCGCTTAAGATGAAAACTACGTAATATCTTGGATTCAATCATTTTAGTTTGTATCTCCATTCTCAATTTTACATTTTCTATGAATGGGAAGTGAAGTGTTAAAAAATACCTATAAATATAATGAAACTGCCTAGTTATTCTGATCCCTGGCTGTGAAACAATACTGAGTCAGTAAAAAACAAAATGAATTTCTTTGCTACTTTTTTTTAACCACCAAGAAAGGATTTCTAGCTCAGTGAGAAAGACAGCAACCACATCTTCTGCAACTTAAAACAGCTTCTCTTCCCATCCCACCAAAAAATGTCACCCTCCTCCCACCAAAGTGGAGAACGGGCCTAGAAACCACACCATTAAAACCTCCCACTGCCTGGTTCCTGCTTTTGCTTCGTCGGTCACTTACCATCTGAAATATATTCTTAAGCATTTTCCTATTTGCATTGTGAGAAAAAATGCAAGCTGAATCCCAAGGATTGTTAACTGCCTGAGATGGCTAATGAAGGACTTTTCTAGGTCAGGGCACAGATAAAATCACTCATCTCTCCCCATTTTTGCTATTTGATCTCAGGTTTGACAAGAAGTACAATATTTACATATTAGTCATTTAAGATACAGAAAATAATCTGAAGCTAAAAGCACATGCTGTGAGGTGAAGCTCCAGGTAGCCCCAGTTTCACGGCAACACAATGCTCTCTTCCTGCTAATTAGGTTTTGGCAAAAATATGAAGCTCTTTGCCTGGAGAGCTGAGTCCTTGTGAGCCCGTCTTTGCCTACAGCCTCATTCCATGTCTCATCCATCGAGGCTCCTTCACAACCCCGTGGTCTTTGATTGATGTCTTCCCCTCTTGAGCCTCAGGTCATCCTGCTGTGGTTTCCCTTGGAATCTGTGTCTTCGCAACTGTTCCCTGCCTGAGCTGTACTTATCACTGAGGACTGAGGTCTGGGGTCACCTACTGAGGTAGATGTTCTTTCTCTCCACTTTCACTGAAAACACAGTTTATCTCCACTTATCTGTGGTCATCTCTTTACTGTCTCCCTAAACATAAGCTTCTGAAGGGCAGAGACCAAGTTTTTTGATATTTATATCTCCAGGGCATAACATAGTGAGCACTCGGTAAACGCTTGTTACTTTTTCTCACTGTTTTGCAAAGGGTCGGTGCATGGAGTTCACTGTGCTTATTTTGGGAGTGCTAAGAAGCTGCTTAAATTCAGTGGCAGCATCCTACCCTGAATGTTCATGCTTCCGGTTATGGGCACATAATCTGCAGGGGGGATTTCCTAAATTCACTTTCAATACCCGTTCATACACAAGGCCCAAGGGGAAAGGCAGTGTTGATTAACACATTTCATCCAGTGATCAGTTGAAACCCATTCCTAGCCTCTTTCCTCTTCCTTTGTAAGTAACATGCAGGCCTTTGTGCATAAAGAGAACAGAATGCTGCACACTTCAGAAGGTTATCAGACTTAACCATTATTTCCAAATGAGTTCAGAGAGATGTTCTAGCATAGCTGAAAGCATTAGCTCTTCACCACACAAATTTAATCCATGTCCTGTTACAAGATCACATTTTCTGCAGTTCACTGGGAATCAGAACTCCTAATAAGTTCAATGATTATCTTGCAAGCAGCACAATTGCCTCCAATTTTTCTGTATGTACCAAGTGCGCTATTTTGTTAGATGTAAACAATGTTTACAACTGTTGGGTATACCATTATTTTCTAGTACGGTAGTAGCCATCTCTCTACATCTTTGAGAGGTCCTTACAAGTGCAGAATTATTTATAGGCCCGATAGTCAAAGGGTATCAAGTCCATGGATCACAAATCACAATACAGTTTACTCATTACTTACCAAACTAAGTTTTTCCCAGAACTCTGGTCCTTCTTCCATCTCTCTGAGGCTTGGTGGAATGTACCAAAAGCAAATATTGGCATATTCAGGCTACAAATTAAGAGAATGTGAAAACTGTTGTGTTATCCTAAGATTTATCTTTGAATGCTATTAAACAAATACTTCTTAAACTCTTAGTCTTTTAAAGACTTATCAAAATTGTATTGATTAGACATCCACAGCTTTATGGAAATTTTTTTTTTTCTCCACTGTTTGCACCTGGAAGATTCTCTTCCTTCTGAATAAGAGATGAGCCCAGATCAGAATACAACAAAAGGCTGGGGATGACTCAAGCTAGTGCTGACCATTCACTAATGCCAGATGTACACACACTCAGTGATACATTGGTTCCTCCTTCTTTGACCGTGATGCTTAAGACAGTTCTTCCAATAATTACTTTGCTTTAGTCAGCCAAAATTGGCCTCTCTTCTCAGGTTCACCTGACATGGTTCCACAAGGAGGAACAGCAGCCAGGCAGCTTGTCTCACAGGAGGCTTCTGGAGTGGATTTTAGGAAATCTTAGCAACATGACCACTCAGTGAGCTTCTCTGCCACACTGGAGCCCTGTCACACTCTCTTCAAAGAGGTGTGCATCGGTCACAGCAAGGGGCACCCTCTTTGCTGGGATCACTATCTCAGTTCTAGCAGAGCTGCTCTGTGTGTCAGCTCTTCCTGTATGCTGGGTGTTTAGATTCCCTTTCTTGCCTGTAGGGCAATGCCATAGGACTCTAATTATCTATACACAAATTAATAATATGATCATCAATTTGTTAAATTTAAGTATTCACTGTAGTTTTTTATCACACCTCTTATCTCTCTCACTTCAAATTACTAGGTAGTAATTTTTTCCTGCTGAATGGACCCTGATTAATATATCATCAAATTTTACATTCATTTTCACTTACATGAAAATTACAAGACTCCCCACAGCTGTATGTGTTATGATAGATTCTGTATTTCACAAGTTAGGACCTAGACATTTTATTTCCTTTAATAAGTTTGTTTAGGTATTTTTGGTACTGACATATCCATGATTTCTTTTGCCCAAACATGTTCTTTAGAATGGTGTGGCTTCTGTACTTAATGACATCTGAAATTTTGTAAAGCTTTTCTGCCGTTTTATTTTGTAAGAGAGTTTGATGGTCCATTTGGCAGAATACATTCATTTTAGCCATTCCCCAAATTATTAAGAGCTGAAAAACGTTTTTGAATGTTCACAAGGAACATAGTTGAGTTTCTTCTGTGGTTTTTGTTGTTGTTCTGTAGCTTGTACATTACACTGAGACTTCAAAGCATTAATGTGTATTCTCAGGAAAGAACCATCTGCATGACATTTAATTTTAATCCCCTTCATAAATAAAAGTGTGACCTCTTAACTGGCTTAGAAACATACTTAGTGTGTGTTGTTGAAGACCATAAAACTGAAGAGGTGCCAAAAGGAATACAACAGGGAGTAAAGGGTACAAAATATATGCAGCAAAAATATTTTGTCATAATCTTATTTTACCTTTAAGGAAAATGTGAATACAATTTATCTTGACCTTAAAATAGAAATAAAATATATTCCAAGGTGATTAGACAGCAATTCCAAGAAGAGTTATTGAATAAATGATATGTGCTCACTTGGAAAATAAAGTGGTGGTCACAAAAAGATAAAAGTTCAATTCTACAAAACTGGGTCATATTTTAAAAAGTCATTCCCTTTGCTTGTGATGTTACTAGATCAGAATAATAGTAATAAAAATTAAAGCTAGCACTATGCATTTTAATAAGTATAAATGCAGACTCTAGCATATAGCTTCAAATAATCAATTATGCAAATATAGAAAGAAGGAAAAGCTAGCATGGCAGATTTTAAATGACTTTGAGTTCCAAGGTATTAATATAAGATTGGACTGTTGGAAAATTCCAAAGGAAATACCAGGTAACATAAAAAGTCCAGAGTGTAGCGACACAAAAATGTAAATTTGAATTCCAAATTCTCCAACACTTTATTGGGAGGAGTGTCAAATTTTCTAGGATTCAGATACCTAACTGATAATATGGAGATGGAATAAGATTTTCTACCTTACAGTGTGGACAGATGGATAAAAATACAGTTTAGTCAAGATACCACTATGTTGACTTCTTTATATTGTGTTTGAAGGGAATAATAAAATTTGTAGCATATTTGAAGAGGATAATCAAACTATTTAATCTAATAAAGACATTGGATCGAGCATTTGGAAGAGCAAATGTAATGCAGTTAAGCTGCAAGGGAATTGGCATTATAAAAGGAGAAATTTCTCATTATCAAAGAAATATTTTTGGCAAAGGAATGGCACACATGTAGAAGCCAGTAAATTGAGGGGAGTGGCAAATGGCTGGAAAGAGTAGAAGAATGGGGTTAGTGGTAACAGGTGAATCTGGAAATGGAGGTGTAGTCATTTCAGGAAGGCTTCCTAATATGCCATATTTGGGAGTTTTGGTCCTGGTCTAAGAGGTATAGTGGTGTCACTGCTGAGTTTTATCCTAGGGAACAGACTTCATTCTGAAAAATCCACTCAAGCTGCAGTGTGAAGACAGCCTGGACAAATCTAAGATTCTAAGTGGGAGACAGGTTAGGAGACACTATCAACCTGAGGGGTGATGGCACCCTGAAACAAGATAGCAGTTTGGGGGGTGGAGAAGACTAAGTATCCAAGATATGCAAGAGGAACAAAGACAATAGAGGAGGTGAACATTTAAGTGGGTCTCCACATAAAGACAATTCACACAGAGACTGAGAAGAAACTGTCAAGTTGAAAAGACAAAGAGGGTCAAAAAAATCAAGACACAGGAAACTCTTCATGGAGGAAACTCCACCTCTATTTCCAGCTCTACCCCTCTTCCTTAACCCCCACCCTCCATTCATTCCAATGCTTTGCCATGCCTCTGAACACACTGGCTCTCATGTGGATGACTATTCCTTTGCCAAAAAACCGTGATAGGACAGAATTTGAAAGGTGGAGTGAATAACAAAGAAAAATGCTACAAAAGTACAAGGAGAAGATTAAACACTGTGGGTTGCTGTGCAGGATAAATCACATCCTGCTGGGTACACATTAGTAAGGTTGAATAACTACTATAATATAAATAATCAGAGCTACCTGGGAGAGGGATGAGCTAGCCACCCCTCTGCAGCATGAAATGCTCAAGTAAGGGCTGACATCTGTAACAGGTGCTGTCAAGAAAATTGTCCTGCAATGGACAGTTGGTCAACTAGATGTCCTTAAAAAGTCTTTATTTTGCTGAAATCTATGGGATCTAATTAACTTTTCCTAATGTAGAACCAGGAAGAGCAAAACAGAAAGCTGAATAATTAGGACCTTTTCAAGACATCAAAATGAAATAGGTGAATGACAGTATAGCAATGAATATGCCTCTAGGAAAATATCTATTTGATTTGAGATCCAATGCAGAGAAAAATAGAGTTATGATTTTCAGAAGAGTATGAATAATGCAGAATTTATTTGAAATGATAACTCTCAATCATATTCAGAGATATGCACTCTTTTCACTGTTTTGAGGAAAGATATTCAAGTACTGGGTGTCTGTTTTGTTATGCTTATCTACTATTTTCAATGTTCCACTTACTGGTCTCATTGCTCTCTGCTTAACAACTCCTCATGTTTATGCACTTTTCCTCCTCCTTCACTACCTTAACGCCTACATGTGAAATGTAAAGTCTGATTCTACCTTATTATTTCAAATAAGGTTAAGGGACAAGCAAATGGATTGCACACAAAAATACTTATTAGCAAAGGCTCAGGATGCAGTTCAGTGTTAGGCATGAGTAAGACCCTGGAGTTGATTCTTAGCACCAAAAACACAAAGAAAAATAACAGCAACTGAGAAAACCCATTTAGCAGAAGTTTTGCAAGATAATTTAGGAAGTCACCCTTACTGCTCAAGGACCAGCATGGTTGCATAGAAGATATACCTAGGGCCACAAGGCTGCCTGAGGAGTGAAACACACTACCTTCATTGTGAGGGTAATGAATGTAATTTCCTAAACCTGACTGGAAGGGTTTCTGTCTCACTTCTCTAAGTCTTTATGAAGAATATATTAAAACTATTTTAAATAACCATATTTTTCATTTTTTTCTTTCATTACTCTCAAAAGACTTTTCATTTCTAACATAGATAGTACTTTCCATAAGCGCTACTGGCCCCACTGCCACATAAAATACGCAAATTTGAGAAAATAAGCAAGCAACTCAAACTCAAAAAATTTTCAGGTGAGTCAAACTCAAATTAAGCAAATCATGTAACTTGTTTCTTTTACTCCAGGCTTTGATACACACTTTAAAAACTGCAGACATGTTCTTGCAGTTATAACTCCATAATCATTACTATGAAATTGCCAATAAATTTTGATAACTTCTAATATCCATTTTATATTCAAAATTTTCCAAATGTTGTCCAAGCTACTTTTACAGTTAATCTGTAAAAAGCAGGGTTCCAACAGTACAAATCCTGGGTTTGCTTGTGAAGAACCTTTAGCCTCTTTGAACCCAGCTATTACTACCCTTTATGTTCACACCACTGATCTACTGAAGAAGTTAGGTCACCTGTTTAGTACAATGTCCCACATTCTGAATTTGTCTCTTTGCTTCTTTGCAGAGTTATTAAGTCATTTAAATATCAACTTTGTGAGCTTCCTCATCTGTCTGATTTTTAGGAAGTTTGGAACTTTAGTACCATCTGATTTGATGCCACCTTTGTAGACAGTGATATAAGCCACGCTCTGGGTTCTCTGAGCTGCAATTTTCAAGCTAGTTGAGGACTGTCCCTATATATCACCTGAACTACTGCAACAATCTCTCAGTTTACCTCATTATTATTCATATCTTCCCTTTACTACTGCATTTCTCTCTTCTCATGACAGCCAGCACAATCCTTTGAAATCAGAGTCATACTCCTTTCTCTTAAAACCTCTCCAAAGACTGCACTTAGAATAAAACTCAAAGGCCTTCGCTTGAGCTACCTGGCACATCTAATCTGGTCTCTTCCCACTTCTCCAACCCCATCATCCTCTGTACTCTTCAAGCACAGGGAACTCTTCAACTGTAAGCCCCTGTGACTGTTTACTGATTCTACCCAGGATGATGTTAATTATCATTCAAGTCTCAGATCAAAAATAAGCTTAAAAGCCCCTATTTTTACTATCCAAACTGGACATACCATTTTGCCCACACCCCATCTCAGAATATTCTTCTATTTAATTCTCTCATAGAATTGTAAATGTTGATGTTTTACTGTGTACTATATTATCTCCCATGAGCCTATTTGTTTTCTTAAGACATCTCATTACCCATTTCCTTGGTAGAGTTTGCTTGTTGCTGTCTTTCACTTTCCATTTGTGAGGACCTGAGAGAAGAGCTTTTTCCTGTCTTGTACCTCCAGAGCTTGGCACACAGTAATTGTTGAGTATATTTTGCTGGATAAAGGGTTACTAAACATTAGCTAGGCAATTACATTCAGCAAGGTTGTTAAATTTTCCATCTTTAGGTGACCATATTTGTTTTAAAAACTGCTATAAATTTTATGCTATAAAAAGATCTAAGCCTCATGCTTTCTATTTCTTAAAAATCAGAAATAAGTAATATGCTATAGTTTCTATTAATATATTTTAGAAAAAAAATCATCATTGCAACCATCTTATATCTTATATATAGCAAACAATCTAACAAGACCAACAACAAAATGGTTATTTACCCATTGCTTCAAAGTAAATATGCCCTTATTATTTTATAAAAAGATTAAAGTATATGTTTTATTGTACATTCCCCTAATTGATTTTTCAGATGCACTCATCACTATAGCACAGTTGAATTTCTCTAGTACAATCATTATGCAATTTATATATCAAGAGAGAGGTCATAATTTATTCATCATTATCTGTAGTAACTACTATTTAGCATTTTAATTTTCAATATATAAAGGCAAGTGTATTCCCTATGAATTCAACAAAGGAAAAATTCTTGCTAATAGAATAAATTAGCATAATGGACTATATGAATTAAGATAATGACTTAGCTTAATTCATAGTCTGCAACAGAAAAAGCAATGAAATATAACAGATTAGAAAATTATCACCTTCATCATTGTTGACTGATAAAATCAGGAGCACATTTCCACAATCACTTACTTCCATTAGTAACTTGAATCCTTCTCTTTTCTTGATCTCGTCTACAAGGTACCTACAATTGAGAGTCACAATTATATTTATCATCTACCAAAAAGGGAAACCACAAACAGGACTGATAATAAAACTGTTATGTCTAACACAAGACAAGGCTTAAACATAAAAGGATACAGGTAAAGGCAAAGTTTAGGATTTAAAATGTTACTCTTGAGCCTACCACAATTCTCTGGGTTTCAGCAAAAATAAAATACATCTTTTTAATGGGATGATAACTGTCTCATTTGTTAACAACAGTTTTTTAACCCCAATGTGAAAAGTCAAATAAGGTAGAATGAATATATATCTCTTAAGATATGGGCTTCAAACCCATATTCTGAGTAAGACTTTGGCTCAGATGCTTGAAGCATCTTGCTGGCTTGGAGGAAAGAGTCTGTGTTGTATAAACCTTGCTTATAATATAAAATCAACATCACCTTCTCCAAGATAATCATTGTCATGTTAAAAGTGACTACACTCATTGACAAGATATCTATGGTGTCATCCTGAATAGAAAGACAATTATCACACCATCTGCGTCAGGGCAGAAGTACAGGAGACAGGGAACATGATTCAGAAAAGTCTAAAATAACATTGAGGACAAAGAGCAAAACAATACTGACTCTCTTGCTTGTTGTTTTTAGAAAAGACAAGCCTGAAATGGTTGATGTTCAAAATTAGCAATCTGATCATGACCCTAAAAAAGTTCACAGCATTTGCTCACTTCTTCAAATTCAGGGTCAAATGTAAGGGAATGCTCAGAAGTGCTGAAAGAAGTGTTTTCCAGAGATTTACTGTGATCTTATATGTCACAGCCAAAGCAGAAACAAAGAGGCAAGAACCACACCCCCACCCCCAACAGCATGGACCGCTTTAAAAGACTGTGTGTGCAGTGGTCACGGATTTGTGGTACCATGATCACCTAGTCAAAGTATTTATCAGTTCAACTAATACTCAAAAATACTCAGTCCTGCACTTCGGCCTCTACTCCCTTACATTTAACACTGAATTAGTACAATAAGCTTTTCCGGTCTGAAAAAGGCTTTGTATAAAATGAAATAAATTCATGTACAAAAATATAAACTCTAAAAACTATGAAAATAGGGGGTTATTACCATCATCACATTTTGTTTGCTAAAGACCATCCGAGAAAGTGGATCTGGAATACAAGATGCAGTTCTTTTTCCCTAAATATTTTTATATAGTTTTCCACGTAAGGTTAAATTTTGATGTTTGTATACAGACATCAATTTTTAAATATACAAACTCATCAATGTTCGGTTCCTCCTTAATTACTAATATGGATTCTTTATTTTGAGCAATAGTATTGCAACCCCCCAGCATACACATACACACACTCTCACAACACATTTGGGGTTCCACATACGTACTCCTTTTCCCGAATATTTCTTTCAGGTGATATGTAGCTAGGAAGATTTTCCTACCTTTAACACAGTTACTTATACAAAACAATTCCAAAAGTTAATACGCACCAAATAATACTCCAGATCACTGATAGTCAAGAACAAATGAAAACAAGCATATTAAACCCTGTTCCCTACATGATACTGGAAACACTTTAAAGTGTTTCAACAGCCAGTGTTAGTAAGAAATCTTTTCAAAATAGTAATACAGTACTCACCTCTGATCAAGCACACCACTTTTGTGATGGTCTACTGAGATAATAATAATACCAAAGATAGGCAAAAAGATACATATTTTACACTAAAGTATAAATACACAAATTTATATATGTTACATTTAAAGTTCTGTGTATTTATGTGTGTGTTTTCTATACAAACTAAACAGAAACAAAATTAATGTCCAAAAATTGAAGCATAGTAAATTAAAATGCTCTCTAGTAACTCCATGTAATATGGTAAGCTACTAAGATAACTAGATTGTCTGCTTCCCTTAAACAACAGGGATGCTTATGATGTATTAGAGATACAACAGAGGTGCTGAGACATGGATAATTTGATTTCCATTTCTAAGAAATTGTTAAAAAGAAAGAAAAAGTGATCTTTGAGTGCAGACACGAGCACAGAGAAAAATATGAAAGGTACATCATAAATAGTGAAGGTTTGTTTACCAGAAGGAGAAAGAAAGCAAGTGTAATGGGAATTACGGATTATCAACTACCTTTGTATGCCTCCTTGCAGAGTTTTACAGGTGTAGTTACTACTGTAAATTTTTAAAAGGAACTTGAGTGAAAAATATAAAGCACAAAGCAAAACAAGTCCAATCTCTACCTATACAAAAAATGCTGTGAACTACTTTTTCTCTCTTCTTCTAGGCTACTAAGATACAGGCAATTAAAAGTCACACAATGACTTCATCCTGAGAAGGTGCACCCTAACCCTCAACATCCTGGGCCTCTGAAAACTTCCCTGCCCCTGTAGAAACCTTGGGGAAGACTCTAGGTTATGGTATGTTAATTGTGCATGTAGCTAATCATCACTGTAACACTAGGTGCATCCCTCAGTCCCTCTGAGTCTGCCTCAGTCTCCTCACACTTGTAATGGAGACAAGAAGCCACATTGGTAAAATCCTCCCCTAAACATGTTATGACTGTGTGAAACTTACACATACTATATCTGTCTGGTCTCAGTTTAAAATATTCTTGTCAAACTGGCCAATGCTGCTGTCAGGGTGAACATATTCCCCAAACAAATTTGAGTTATTTCACTTAAAACTGCTTTTTGCTATCCAGGTAGACAGAGTGCTCATGGTCCTCCTGTTGAGATCGGTGTTCCCCCTGTAATCACTATCACAGCCTGTGAACCTCGGTGCCACACTCCAGGAGTATTAAAGGTGGAGGTGATTCAGGGAAAGAAGAAATGCTGCTGTTACCATGATAACAAAGTCCAACACCAGAACTTCCAAATTATGATTCATGCTACACCCATACTAACAGGTTTTATGCATAAAAAGGTTTCACTAGCAAACATGTTTTTAGCATTACTGGACATACCAATTTGACTGTTTTTTTCCCAAGTACACTTGGCTTAATTCACACAGTCATCTATTGAACTGGTTGGATGGCTCACAAATATCACCAGAAACCAAGCATTTCTACCATTTCATGTGGTCTTGGAGAGATTAACGAGATCCTCTCCCTTGTTCATAGCAATAAGTACCAAAATTACATGTGTCACATCCGTTCCTAAATAGTGTCTCCAAAAGAAAAAGGAGGGACATGGGCAAAAGCACTGTGTCTTTACCATGTACTTCTCCATATTCAGTTAAACATAAATTCCCCAGAAGTCATCACATAATTCTTTCTGTATCTTATGATTATTCACAAAACCCTCCACTAACTGTTGGCAAAAGGACATCAGTTACACCAGTGTTCCTAGTTAGATCATTACTGTTTAAATAAAAACAAAATATTACTGGCAGAGAAAAAGAGAAAGTGGCTTTCTGGAGAGGCAGTGAATAATATCTGCTTACTGATAAAAGCACGGGCAAAAACATTTCTATTTTAAAGACCCTCTCAGAGTCTTTAGTGTCCCAGTGAGCACTTTGAATTTCCAAGAGAAAAACAATAGTTAACATTTCCTGACTATATTTGACCATGAAAACATTTTTAAAAAGATCATCAACTGAGATCTCCTGAGCATGGTTCAGAAACACTAGGTTAGATATGCTTCCATAGAAAACTCTACCACCCTCTAATGTTTAAATGAAGTCAGTTGTTAGGGGATAATCCAAATAAGTTTGGGGTCACAGCTATCTACATTCACAGGGATGACTTATTCTTCATAACTTTTTCAATATATGAAAATAGTCCAAAATTCACATATATTTTTAAAAAACTATTCTTTTAAAAAACTATTCTTACAGAAGCCAAAAAATTAGGGGGGGGCATAATACAAAAATCATAAGCTAGTATCAAAAACAAGGGAGTAAGGAAACTTATAAAAAACAATAATGTCATTAAACTCGTCTTTGTCCTTTCCATTAAGTTTGGCATAAGAAAGAAGAAAAAATACATGCTATCAACAGTTTTCATCAACTGTAGTAAGGCTGAAAGCTTGTATTAATATTCTGAGTGGATTCGGAAATATATATTAATAATCTGGCTTCAAAACAATTTTTCCTTTACATGCAGTGTTACAGACTCTAAATTTCTCAAGTTGTTACATGAGTCTATTAAAGTTTTTAATTTCACTTGTTCTCGGTGCAAAGCATTCTTTTATTTCTGGAAATGGCTGCTCTAATCCCTTTCTCAATCCACCAGGCACTTAAGCATCTCCCTGATCTGCTGTGGACTGTGTTTCTCCACCGTCTCATCCTCCCCATTGAAATTTATTTTGATCGATGCAGAGCCTCTCAGAACTCTTCATGTTTTTTCCATCTGCTTCCTCTGTTCTCTGCACATATCAGAGCAGAGCTTATGGGTGTTGTGATTCATCGCAGACACCCACACGCTTATTCTTCTGCAATTGTGATTTGTAAGAAAATTACCAGTTTAAAGAAAAACCTTGGACACGCTGGCCCTTCTAGACTGTCCTTCCCACGGCCTGGAAAAAGCACCAGCACAAAAGCACCACTGTGTAACTGCTCACCTGTTCCGGACTGATAGCGATAAATCCCTCAGAATGTATGCAAGTCTATGAAATAAATTCCACCTGAGAGATCGCAGAGATTGTGTGTCAAGGGAACAGATAAATGATACACTGGAAACTGAATGAAGTAGCAGAATAAGAGTTCCTCAGCTGTTCGTTGTTGGTGAAAAGACTCCCACATGACTGTTTGAAGCCTGCTTAAAAATTACTGCTCCGTGAATATCTGTTTAACCTGGGCGTCACAGTAAAGGCCACGCAGACACCTCTGCAGCAAGTAGTCCTGGAGATTGTAACGCATGGCCAGCTTTTTCTAGGCAGAGGTCCAGGCAGCACGTTTACCTGCTTTGTGACAGAAGAGGCATCTTAAGCCTAAACCCTCTGGATTTCAATTACACTTAATAATCACATGTTGCTTTAGGCTTCCAGAGTCACTGATTTTTTCCAACAACCAAAGGAAAAAGCAATTTACTTATTAATGTATTTTTGCAAGAAATGTATTCTCAATTGGAATGACACGGTCAAATGGAAATTCATGAACTCCTTAAAGCTTTTCCATGCAACATTTTTTCCCTTATTGATAAGATTTTTCACAACACATAGTCAGAAGCACTGTCTTCCTAAAAATATATATTCTTATTTTTCCAGGGAAGATGGGATAGAGTTATGTGATCAGGAGAGTGATCACTGTCTATCAAAATCTGATCCTTACATTTTAAGACCAATATGCAAATTGTAACACTAACCTCTAAATATATTTAGGAGCATCAAAAATTGTTTCCATAGAAATATTGCGATTCTTACTTTAATAGAATGAGTGAGAAATCCTCCTGTAGTTTTTTCTAGTATTTGTGAGATCTGACCTAGAGCCGAGAGAAGTGGGTATTACAGTGTCGCGGGGTGCCAGGACCTGACATAGTTACACCATTGTGTGGGTCTGCACTGTCTTGCTATCTACAGAAGGAAATCCCACTTCTTGCAAATAAAACAAAGTAACTCTGATGTAGAAATTCTGCTTGATAGAGCATTCTGACTATGGATGAGAAATGTCTTTTGTCAATTCTGAAGCAAATTTCCATTGGTCAGTGGACTTGGGGGAAAACATTATTTCCATTCTAACTCGTCAGTGTTTGAAACAATTATGCTGACTCCCATAATCAGTGGTATTCTGAGAGCTCGTTTCTAGTGCCTGATGAGAACCTCCTGCTAAATACTGCAGGATTTTGCACACCATCACTATTGGTAACTTTCAATTTGTCATACCGGGAATATTTATACTATGAAAACTGGCAAAATTTACAAATACAGGCTTTTTGTTTTCCTCCTGAGAGTCAATTCACCTGCACGTGACCGCCCATGGGTAGAAGCAGACAGAATAGATAATGAAACTGAGACAATACATTTTTTTTTCTGAAGAAAATAGCAAAAATTAAAAAATAAACTTTTTCTGTTTCTAATTTGCTATGATTTTTAATCCTAGAGAAATTCTCCAAGTGATAGATTCATATTCTTTCCAACTAACACCAAGTGAAAACACTGTCCTTTTTCTTGGCAGTGAGGGTAGGAGAAGAGGATGACAAATATCAACCACATGGCCTGGAAAACTGCTGGATATCAATAGTGTAGAAAGGGAAGTCAAAAAAAACCTATCAGGAATAATGACTTGAAAGAGAAAGGAATCTTTTTCAAATATTTAAATATAGGTCATGCGAGCCTGCAGTTATCCACTGAAATGCTAATTCAATTCAATTTGACAAACATTTACAAACAATAAGTTTTTGTTGAATTGAACTGAAATGTCAACACGTATCCCGCTGTGATATTTCTCTTCAAAAATTATAAAGTATCCTTAGAGTATAAACTAAATTCTGTCCTAAGATGAATGTTAACTTCATAATAAATCTAATCATCAAATATTTATATTTAGTCTTATTGCAAGACATTTTTCAATGAATTACTTAGCAACTTTGACAAAATAATGCCGATAACCACATTTAAATAGTACAAGAAAATAAAAAGTAAGAAACAGATTCCTGAATTTCATTTTAACTTAATGGGCACCCGAGTATCTATAATGAACAACTTCACTACTTGGTAGCATCTACTTCTAATAGAGGCTCTTTAATCCCACTTGTAGTAAAGGCACATCCCTTAACTGGCTTCTGAGCATCCTCTGTAAAGAGGTTGACAGTCTCTGAGTGCCAAGCAAGGACATACGACTCAGTATAACCAGTGCATGTATCACAATCCCCTGGTAAACCACGACTGGTTCTGAGTAGGACATTTCTCTCACTCATTGATAATTAAACTTACCATGGGATTATTATATAAAGGCTAAGCTCTCCTTTAGACTTTGACCTTAAACCTGGAAGAATAAAGATCTAACTCCTGACACTCACCTTTCTTCATGGGAATAGATTTAACATGAAGAAAAGCATGGCTAAATACAACATAAAGGTTGTAGCCTCATGGTATTCTTTAAGCCTCTTAAACTATTCCAAGAGTCATTTCTACACTAATCTTACAAGTAACATGAGATAATAGGGTTTTTTTTTGTTTATAATAACACGATTAAGATTTCTGTTGCTTACCACAAAAGAACTCTGACATAATATTCATAAATATCTAAACTATGTCTTATACTATAATTACCAGAGTCGCTAATTTCTAAAAGTGCCACAGCTATGTCTTAAACTGTATTCTCTGGGGTTGGCCATTTTATTTTCTTTGATTAAAGGAAAGCCAGTAGATGTAATCTCACCCAGAGTCAAAGCGGGGTGGCCTTCTTGGGTTTTTGTCATAGCCATCACAAAATATGCCCCAAATATACCCTGCTAGTCTAATGAAAGATGACAAAAATGTGGAGAGTAGACTCCAGTACCCCTGCTTCCAGAGTAGAAAGAAAAATCACACTACCCAAGTCGCAGACCACTGAAAATAAACAACTGCTTTTTAAGACACTTGGTTTCAGCCACTTTGTTCCAGTGAATATTCATTTTATTTCTCAAATAAAAAGAAGATACTTAAGGTTTTTATGAGTGATATGTAAACAAGTAAAGTGGGAAAGATTATCCAAGCCAGAGATCACAAATCTGATGCCCACATTGGCCAAACAGGTAAGAAAATATGATTTGTATAATAAATAGCACATCCCAGGTATTGTTTTAATTGCTTTACATCAATTTCCTTAATCTCAGCAGTAACTATTTGATATAGTTGACATTATTATTAGTAAGATCTTACTGGGATAAAAATTAGATACAAAAAAGTTAAGAAACTTGCCCATGTCACATAGCTTGTTAGTTATAAAACTACCTTCTGAATTCAGTTTGTCTGAACCTCAGTGGTGTAACAGTAAATAGGCTAGACTTTAATCACACACACACACACACACACACACACACACACACACACAGCAGGAAGTGTTCTCTGTATTTAGGAATAGTTATGCTCAACTGATTGGTACAATGTAGGATTAAGAGCTTTTTAACCTTTTGAAAAATGCCACAAATACAGATACGGGGGAAATATACTTTAAAATAATGTTTTATTAATACTGTTAAGTTCAACCCTCTGCAGGGCATACTCAGCAAAACACGCTGAAAGTTAAATTGGGTTGTGTCTTCTTCATTTGTACGCACTGCTCTAAGTTTAGCAGCTGGGTCCTGTTCAGGTGGTAAGGGTCTGACACCTGGCTCAAGAGCTTTTCTAACATTCTTGAAAGTTACAGCAAAAGCTTTGCAATGATAATAGAAGGTGATGTGGAAGGAAACATGCTTCCACATCACCCTTTCTTTTAACCCTTTCCGTTGTCCCCACATTCTCAAAGATGTGTTTTGTGATTCTTTAAAATCACACTGACTGCCGAATTTTCTTACATCCAGAGATTTGGGACTGGTCCTCCCTCTGACTGGACCATTCTCCTCTCCCCCCTCTTCAGCAGATCTCACTTGAGGATCTTCCTTCAAGGAAACTCTGCCAATATTCCTTAAGAACAAACTAAGGACCACTCTTGAGGCACCAGGTGCTTCTCTTACCAAATAGGAGACCTGCTTCTATTTCACCTGCTTTCTCTTCTGAACACATCTGTCAGGAGGCTAAGGTCTTGGAGGACAGGGCATGCTGGAGTACTGCTTGGCTCACAATTCCTACCACACAGTATGTACTAAGAAAATGTTTGGTGCATGAAGGAAACAATTCACAATTAAAAGAGCATGTGTGACCTTACCAAGGTTAATTGCACTTCTTAAACAACATACATGGACACACACACACACACACACACACACACACACACACGCACACATACACACATACACACAGTACCTAGATAAAGCAAGAGCACGGTTAACTCTTTCTTCAAGGCCTAATGTCCCCAGGGCCTTCCAGGTCATCCAGAATTTGAATGCATCTGGTCTCCTGCTGCACTGGATAGACTTGTCTCCTGTATCATAGCTGACATCGTAGAATTTATCCTGTTGGAAGAGGTATGATGCCTTGGCTGAGTAGCATTTCTTAAGAAGATCCTTTGAAAAAAGAAAAAAAAAATAAAGCTTATAAGACTGCTTATTTTTTTATAATGAGTTCAAATTTGAAAATGCATGAAAACAAAACCTATATGGAATTCTACTACCCGTGCAAAATGTATGTCCCACGGCATGGCTCTCCCATGTTAAAAGTCCCTCTTAACTTTCAGCACAGGTTACCCACTGTGCTTCCAAAAAATAAAAATTATAAAATCTCAGAGTTGGCAACGCTACACCCATCTTCACAGTTTCACTGATGAGTGAAAAGTGGAGAAGATCACATTTTCATGACTGTAACATCAAAGGAGAAACCTGACATATTATACATGTTTTAGACAAGTTCATAGACTAAAAGTAGGTTTTTTCAGTTCACGTCCACAAAATGAAAGACCAGATGTGATAGTATCTTAGCACTGACCACCTGAAGAAAGAGTAGTGGAAGAGTTAAATAAAAGCTAACAAGACCTCCTAGTCACAAAACATCAGCCCAGATTCCACAGGTCTTTTGTTTTTGTTTCACATTGGTTTTATTTGCAACTATATTTCTTTCACACTTACTGAATGGCTATTTTTCACTAAGAAGTGAGTGATAATTTATTCAATCACCATTTCATGATGTTCACCTTGACCCCAAATTACTGCTTTATGCCATGTTGCCTTCAGTGGCAGCAAGTCTCTGCATAAGTTCACCACTCCTAACCTGTCATTCACAGCCCTGGCGACCTCCTGATCACCTTCATGCCTAGAAAATACTGATTAGAACCTTCTGCCACCTGTTACCAATCTAACGTGTTTTAACCACAGATCCGGTCCCATTTATATATCTTTGCTAACATCAGGTTGCTTGATTATTGTCTCTATTATAATGTTTGACACATCCATTAGAATATATGCAGCATATCTATAAAGTTTGAAGTTCATTAACATTTAACACGGCCTCCTTTTTTGACCCAGGCATATCCTTCCATGGGGTTCCACCTCAAGATGTTCTGGCCACTCTGCTTATTTGCCTATTCCACTCAGTTAATATTTAGCTGAATTTGCTGTCTTTGATGTTGTATTGTCCCCGTTTAATGAGCAGTCACGACATCTATTCTCTGTGTATGTGACAAATCAGGTTCTTGAGGGAGGGAATCATTCCCTTAAATTTATCTCCACATTCACATTCATAGGGCTTCACACTGTGCTGGCCCACAGTAACTCCACCAAGTTGTCAGGACAATGACACCATATCCCCAAAGCCAAATGTCACTCCCATTCCCCTTATGTGTGGTATGAATAGCAAAAACAATATATATAAGCCTCTCATTTAGAGCATCTTCCAACTTTAAGCAGTGCAAAACTCTCAGGGCTGTATAAAAAGTTATAAAGGAAACTCCCCATAGACACAGACAAATATTCTTAGAGAATATTTCCTTCTAATAAGAGAATGCATCAAATATGATCCATTTGAGTAATCTCCTTGTGCTTAATGAAAAGAAAATCTCAAGAAAGACAAATTTCCCATTTTACCAGCAGCATTGTCTTTTGTGGACGTTAAACTTGACCTAAATATGTTTGATTTCCAAAGCATGATTTTATATAAAACATCATACACCAAGTACAATGAGAAAGTCCAAAATTCTACTCAGTCACTATTCACAGTAAATTGAGTGTAAAATAATAATCAAACAAATTCTAGTAAGCCTACAGCCTGAGTATGACAGATTCTCATAGACACAAGGGAAAAATAGATTGCTATTACATTAAGAAAGAAAAGGGCCCTTACTTTTAAATCTTCACTTTATTTTACCAGTAGTCTTTCAGCTGATCAGTTGCCACCACTCTATCTCTTTACCTTTCACAGGTCGGAGAATCTTGTTATTGTTTCCATGGCAACTACAGTCTAGCCATATATTACAACACTAACAAAGGGACACTGCATATATTTTAAGGACAAACCATGCACACACATTCACAGAACACATGTATAAACCCATGTATTTGTACCATGATTATAAATTTACTTTCATCAACCATAAAAGATATTTTTTAAATCATCCAAGTAAATGAACTTTGGATATGCCTCAAGCAAGCTTCAGGGGCCCACATTAGTGATTGAGATGGAGAGAAATCTCATTTATTATCAAAAGATAAATTGCATTATCATGGGAAGACGGAAGAGCACCAAGAAAGCGTACAACAGAAAGGGTGATTGTCCCACAGTGATGACACAGTTAATCTTATCACACTGAAAACTCCTGCTGCATTGGAAAAGTTTCATAAAGAACAACTGGAGGCTTGGGATTTACTTTATCGAAAATAAATGAAAACTTTCCCCCCAAAGTTCCTGCTTTGCATTTTAGTTTCTAGCCTCATATTAAAATGAATGAAATGTCCTTTAGGTTTAGGGTACATTATCAACTAAGAGGAGAGGCTCAGATCTCCAGAGAAAACTAGATTTTAGGAGAAGTGTAGTAAAAATTAACATTTTTGAAAAAAAATTAATTACTTATTATCCTAGCAAAAAAAAAAAAAACCAAAAAAACTGTTTAACTAGCTTGTCTTCATACCCTTAATCCTGAAAGGACACTAAACAGCAGTTATATGAATTCTGACAACAAATACCCAGTGAGAATACCAATTGCTTTATATGGTGATATTAACTCAGACCATTTTCAAGGATTAGTAGACAACATATTAAGCCTTGCCCAGTGGCAAGTGAAAGAAGCTTAAGCAAAGGGGGGATTTTCATAGACTTAGTTCACACATTTAAAACTCTAGCCTTTATAATCTCCAGGCACAGCTGGATAAGGTTTAAATGATATTCATCATTAGGAATTTTTCACTTCCTCTTGTTCTAATGTCTTCTGTGTTGGCCTCACAAGCCAACACAGAAGCAGAAAGTTGGGAGGGAGCCTTGGAACTGGGGCTTCCAAGTGGGACCTAGGACTATGGAGAAAGACTCAGGAAAGAGACAGGATATGGAGACCATAGGACTTCCCCTAGTGAAAACATCCCACAGAAACCCCCTCCTTAGCTAAACTCTGGTCAAGCTCCTCCCAGTCCTCTAGGTCTCTATTTTGGCCTGCATCTTAGTCAAGGCTGCATGGCCCATTTGTAACAAGAGTTTTCCAGAGTCAATTTAGAGAGAAGTCCCCACCTGGATATCTGATCACTTTTAATATCTGACCAAATATTCATCCCTCCTCCTTGGAAACTGATTACCCTAGCCTTCCCTCAGCAAAAATTCTAGTAAGTCCATTTAACTTGTCTCCTCTTTTTATTGCTAGTGTTTTCTTAGTATGTTTCCATTCTCTGAGCCCTACTTGCTTTTCATTACAAATTTCCATGTTATGCTTAGAATTCAATCCAATTCCCCACTGGTCTCTTTCCCCATTGACTATACCTGAATAAATTCTCTTCTTACCACTTCAATGGCCAGCTCTGATTTTCTTTGTCATTACCCAAAAGAAAGAGACTCTTGGCCTCAATCTGTTATCTGAAACTTCTGCTCACCAAATCTGGCAAGAAACTATAGAGACTGGCAAAGAATTGTGAGAACCATAATGTGTAGAAGTTAGGCAAAGAAGAAGGTAAAGAACTAATTATACTGTAAAGAAAAACAGGCAAATGAGAAGCACTCTACATGAGTACAGAAACCACACTATGGTTTTCACAACATCTAAACTAACCCTAATAATAATAAGCATGAGAACTAACATGCATTAGGCTCCTACAATTTGTCAAGAACTGTTTTGCATGAATTTACTTAAACCTCACAATAACCCAATGAGGCAAGTGTTATTATTTTTCTCAATTCTCCTGTACATGCTTTGCAACATAATAAGGGTTGGTTATTTACCTAAGGTCAGATAGCTACCAGGTGGTAGGGCTTGGTTTCAAACCAAGGCTGGTTAGGTTCAAGGCTGAAACTCTTAGCCTATTGTATTCAGCTACATCAACAGTGAACATGCAAATACATGAGATGAGTACTTACGACATTTAAAGATATCATTAAAAGTATATAACATATAACTGAGCCCATAGGTTATATTATCGCTGTTAAGACTAGCTAAGCAACTAGGCTATTTCAGATTCAATAGGTTCTTTCTCAGGAGTCAATTGTCAACCACATGGATCACTTTAAGTCAACATTCTCTGTGCAATGAGGTTTCCTTTTTGCCTTATTCTTCACAAATAAATGCTACTGATAACTCTTCCTACTTGGCTTTTCCCATATTCTACCCCATGTCATCAATTCAGTACACATAAAAAAGCTTTTCTAAATGACATAGGAAATGGAACATTGAACAACTTTGTAGTAATTACTTCACTGAAAAAGCATGTATTGAGGTTCTGTTTTATTATAAACACTATGATACCAGAAGTCCAGGCATAGAGGCCTGATACAGTGCTTAGTGTTCAAGTTGATATTTGTTGAATGAATGTGTAAAATCATCCTTAGGCTGTGGTGGAAGAAAGGTCTGGCTATAATGTACAATATAAAAGAGAACATTGAAAATGTTTATGCCCTTACAATATTTATTTATTGAGCAAATATTACAAGTGCTTTCATACAGACCAAAAGCTACACTAGACACTGGTGACATTATGGCACATAAGAAAGTCACTATCTTTAAGAAGTTTCCAATGGGAACAGGGATAGAAGAGCAAGACAATGACAGTGTCAAACTAGGACAGGAGAAAGGGCAAGATGCTTCAGAGTGCAGAGGAGGGTCACCTTCCCTCCTCACACATTACACAGGGCTTTTCGGGCAAAGAAATGTCAGCTGAGAGTTGAAAGATAGGAAGCAGCTGATGAGAGGAGAGACACTAGAATTCATTCTGACTGGAGCTAATTAATGAGGTAGCATTTAGCTAGAGAGAGCAGGACTTGAAAGGTAAGAGGTAGCCAAGTCACCAGGACTCTTAAATGCCATGAGAGGAATGATTTGTTATGAAATTTCCATCAGCACATACAGATATTACAACGTATCCTTCTTACTGATCTGGCAGAA